TGTACTTCCTCACTCCCCTGAACTGAACCCGCCTTTTCCTCTATCTCGCATATTCCATCAGCGGTGTGGCATGACAGAACTTTCTACGATGGCAGACATGCTCTCTGTCTTCACGGTCCAACGCGCTTAGCCGTTAGCCACATGTGGATATGGAACACTGCGGTAGGGTGACTGAAGAATCGAATTTTAAAGTGCATTTCATTTTAACTCGTTTGAATTTAAGTAGCCACGTGTGGTTTAGCGGTCACCCTCTCAGACAGCACTGGCTCAAGGTAACTCGGAGAAACACACTTTTGGATGCCGGGGCACTGGGCCTTCTCCTAACTGTGACATCCCTAAGCAGTAGACACATTTATAATAAGAATCAGGTGATGAGAAAGAAGGAGGAGCGGGGTGAGAAACACATGTTCACGAGACATCGCCATGGAGAAAGAGAGAGGAGAAAAAACACATTCCACAATGCTGTTTTAGCAGGGAAAACAGTTCCCAAGGGAGAAACTACGGTGAATCCTGGCTGAAATACTGTACTCCCAGAGGGGACGAAGAGTCTGGTACCACAGTGTCATCGCTGCAAATCCCAGGCCATACGGAGCCTGAGCGGGAGGAAGAACCCAGCGCCAGCCAGGTGAGAGTGTGGTGTCGTCATCTCCGGGAGCATCAGTTATCTCCGCTTGACACGAACGGATCGGTGACTCGAACGTCCCATTTTGTGTAGCTGATTTCGCTCCCATTTGATGACTCTCTCACGTTTCGAACAGTTACGTATCTTTTTAAATATGAAAAGTGAGAATACCACACCCTCCTCCCTCCACCGACTTCCTCTAAATGACGAGCCCATGGCTCCGAGATCACATTTTGAGTAATTTCTCCCTTGACTTTAAATGCGTTCATCATAAGTGAAGTTCCCACGCGTGTTTGTGCTTAACCCTCGGCTCCGTCCTGTTCCATTGATTTATCCGTCAGTTCCCTCACCTGTGCCCTTTAATCTCTCAGCTTTAAATCTCTTAATATCTCCTGAGGCCACTGGTGTCTTTGTGACTCGTGGGCTTCCGGGTACATGCTCCCTCCTGGTTTTCCTCTCCTCCCCTGCTGCCCCTGCTCAGTGTCCTCGGTGTTGGTGTCCTTCAGGGATCCGACCCCAGCCGCCACCATGCCGCACGCCCCCTCTCTGGGCAGACTCCTTCCCTCCCTCTGGCACCTTCCATTTTCCACAGAGATGCATAGCTAGACCAATCAGATTCATTCTTTTGGATTTGGTCCGTGACCTGGGGTTTTCACTTGAACGGTGGGCATTGAACCACGATAGCCTCACTGGGCCACACGCCCTCAGAGAAGCCAAGAAGTCCAGCGTTTAGAGGGACGCACGCTGGGTGCACAGAGAGAGAGGCAGAGGGGAGCCGGCAGCTTCAGACGAACTGAACGAGCAACCTCATTGCAGCGCTGTTTCTGAGTCTATTAATAGGTTCTTGCAAGGTTGGGCCACATTTCCTGCATTTGAAATCTGCGACCTGCCCGTGGTTCCTAAAAAAATCTCCCTTTTCTGCTGAAGAAAATCACTTGATTTTCTGCCCTGTAACCAGAAACACACACACACACACACACACACACACGCACGCACGCACGCACGCACACACACACCCCTTGACTGAGGAATTCCTTGCACCATTATCTTGCGGGAAGGTGATCCCTCCTGAAGATGTGGTTTGAAGTGTCTGTGGGATATTTAGGTCTGGAGGTTCATGGACTATGGAGGTGTGAAGCTCAGAAGACAGGTTCGATCTGGAGGTATAGATTTTTTAAATCTATCAGGGATTTTTTAAAAAAGCAATGCATGCATATGGAAAACTTCATAAAGGTGATAGATAAACAAGTCTCTTGACAAACACTGACGAATCCCCCAGATCCTTCCCCCAAACCATCTTGCATATCCTTCTAGACACAGCCAGCTTAGTGGACACGGAACCTCTGCTGTTACACAGGGACCCACGCTTAGACAGGTCCTGAGCTCGGTTTAATGTCCTGCTGTCGCATCTTGACATTCTTAATTTTAAATAAAGGACCCTACGCTTTCGTTTTGCACTGGGCCCCCGAATTATGTAGTAGGTCCCATTTCAAGCTATATTCCATGTACCGTTAAACACACCATGGACATACGTGCTTCTCTTTTCTTATACAATTCAATAAGACATTGTATGTATATTGCACTGGGTGTCAGCATTTGGTGATTCATAAAAGCATTGTGAGGATGATCTTTCCCAGGAAGAAGATTTAAAAGTCGCTCATGCTGTTCACCAAATATTTTTGCTTCTCCCGTTTCTAGGTACATGGGAGACATTCGGCAAGATAGTATTTCCTGGTGCCTCGTGGTTCGATAAGGACAACTGACTCGTTTTGACCAACGAGTTAGGAGCGAGAAGGCAGTGTGTTATTTCTAGCTCAGAACTTTTAAATGTTGCTGTAAGACCCGCCAGATTTCTCATTCAAGAGTTCAAGACAGTGGCTGTTCCTCGAGCCTTGGTCTCTGAGTGACTACGATGAGCAGAGATGGGTGACCCATGACTGACGTTTAGTGTGGTTGAGAAATAAACCGATGGTGTTTTTAAGCCAGGAGATTTGTAGTATTGCTTGTTACTGCAGCATAACCTGTCCTGTCCTGAACGATAGAAACATAAAAAATGCTGAGGCAGAATTCGCTCGAACTGACAGTCGAGGGGAGAAGAGAGAAAGAAAGATATGACCAAGAGTCTTAGAGGTAAAAATGGGGAACCAGGAGAAGATGGAACTCAAGGGAGACGTGGGGATCGCGGGAAACGACTGCTCCAAGAAGAAGAGAGTTGTCACGGGGTTAAACGTGTCCCAAAGCTTAAGTAAAATAAGGAATAAAACATATCCGCTAAAGCTAGCGACCGAGAATTCGTCGGTAAGCTCATTGAGAACGGTCTCCTCGGGGTGGTGTGGGGGGACGCGGACAGACGGCCGACGGAGCAGAAAGGGGAGAGCGCAAGTTCAACAGAGAGACCAGGACAAAGAACGCGTCTCGGGCGGGTGGCAAGGGCAGCATTGAAGTGACTTGCCTGTTCTGGACATTCCCTATGAAGGGTGGCACGCCACACGTGGCCTCTGTGTCTGGCCTCTTTAGTTTAGCACATTTTCAAGGTTCACCTATGTCGGAGCCTGTGTCGATACTTCTTTCCTTTTTACGGCTGAATAATATTCCATTGTGTGGATAGACCATGCTTTGTTTATTCACTCATCTGTTGATGGACATCTGGGTGGTCTGCCTGTTCACTGCTATATCCGCTAGTGGCTGGTGCTCTTGGGAACGAACGAACGAATGAATGAATGAATGAACAGCATAAACAGCGTTGTTCAGTCACAGAGGTGGTAAGGTGTGACACCAGAATTGGAAACCAGGCAGCTAGTCCTTCAGTGCCCTATGTTCTAACCACCAGGCTGGACTGCCATAATGGGAGTCCTGTGGACGTCTTCTTGTTACAGATGAAGATTATCGTACCTTCAGAGTCCCGGCAGAAAAGTGACGGCGGACTCCGGCGGGGTAACTAATGGCGGGGCCACTTATAAACGTGTCAGTGGAGTTAGGAGAAAGCAATAAGGGATGGTGAGTCACCGGGGGCTGGCAATAGCCCTCTCAGCCCGAGGCCCGAAGGGACGAGAGGGCGTGGTGCCCAGGGCCCTGTCTTGTGCAACTGGGAGGAGGCTCCAGAGCTGGGAGCCGAGAGGTGGGGGGGTGGGCCCCGGAGCACATGGGTGAGAAGGTAACATTCAGCTCAGACTGGAGAAGGAAGACTCCCCCTGGCCACTTAGCACGCTGGAAGAGCAGAAATTGAGAAATCGAGTTGCAAAAATAACAATATTTCTCTGTAGCTGTCAAGTGATAACGTCCTCCGTCCTTGAGTGACTCCTGCTTTCTGACTCACTGAGAAACGCCAGCCTTTAAGATCACAGACGTCAGAAACTCTGCTCTCTGAGATTGCATCGGTAAGAATTGAAATACTCCACTTTCGCCTGGAGGAGCTGGGTCACCGCGCCACAGAGAAGCAGCCTCCGGGACACGACAGTCGACATCTATCAGCTTTATCGCTTCCAAGGATACAGGGCACTGGGTCCACTTTGCAATCTAGATCCGAAGTTGACCATCTCATGCAAAACCTGCTTTTGCTTTGAGCCTGTCAAAACCTGCTTTTACTTAAATTTAATCGAAACTCCATCTTCCCCCAAACCCTAGATTAACTGTCTGTTTTGGTGATGCCCCACGACTCCTCTGGCATCACTGACTGGGTCGAAACTCGGTTTTGTTGGACGGCGAGTTTGTTCCTGGTGGTCTCAGGCTGACCGGCCTAAGTCAGGGGTGGGCCCCCGAGGTACAGGGCAAGACGGAGAGAGGACCCAGAGGGTCACGCAGGAAATGTCCAGCATAGAAATAAAGTCCCCACCCCCCACAGCTCCTTATCAGCAAATCTGATCCCACCCCCATCCACAGACCAGCATGTTGTGAGGAAGGGGGAGGAAGAGAAAAACGGGGAGACCTCTATTCGCGTGTGTTTATAGACATCTGGGGCTGAACAAAGGGTTATAGAAATGAATCGATTCGTCTCTGAATGGGGCTTGAGGCAATGGAACGGTCCGGGCCCTTCACTAAGGCACAATGGAAGCACTGGGCCTCCTGACATTTGAAGGACTGCCCCTTTCGCCAAACTGAGATGAGTCAAAAAGGGCGAAAGGAAAAGGGGAAATAAAATTCTAAAAATGCCCTTCCTTTGAACACCATCTTTGTGCAGGCTTCTGGGGGAGGCTGGCTGGGGCAGGGTCATCTGCCAGGCAGGCCCACAGGACTTGGCTTCTCTTGTTTATCCACAGCCACATCTGGCCAGCTGCCAGGGCCCGCCCCCACTCTGCCATCATTGGAGGAACTCAAACTTAAAAGGCTCCTCCTAAGAATCAAGACATTTCATTTTCCTGGTACTGGTGGGCCTGCTGTGGCCAGCCTGGGAAAGTTGAGCCCTGGTCCAGCCCCGAGCCGAGTGGGCAGAGGCCTCTTGCCATGCTAGCCTGCTGCAGTGATGTTTTCCACTATGAGACAAACAAAGTCACCCGGATCCGGAGCGTGAACTATGGCACCATTAAGTGGATCTTCCACATGATCGTCTTTTCCTACGTTAGGTAAGTGGGGTGTGGGGATGACCCCAAATCTCTGCAGTAGTCGACAGCATGGGAAACCTCAAGGTGCCGCATCTGGCGCACGTCCTGGATTCCATGTGGGTTTAAAGCCTGAGACATGTGCCTCACGCGCAGGCTGGTGGGAAGAGGGCGACAGGAAGCGGCAGGAAGGGGATCTCGTCTGCTGCGGGAAGAAGCCTCGGGACGCGGGGGCGACACTCTGCGTTCTGCCCCAGGCCTGCTGGGACGAACTGGGCAGGGCATGCCTGGGGGAGGCGGGGAGATGCGGGGCAACACCCCGGACCTCCAGGGAGGAGGCAAGGAGTCGGGGCACACCTAGTGATAATGCTGGCAACTACGTGAGTCATCACTGCCTCGGGGAGGACTAGGACCAGACTTGTAAATGTCCCTTGAGGTCCAATCCAGTGTCAGAAAGGGCCCCTTCGCTCTTTTATTTTTTAAAAGCAGCTTATTGAGATATAATTTGCATACTACATAACTCGTCCATTTAAAGTGTACAACTTAGTGGTTTTTAGTATATTTACAGGGTTGTGCAATCATCACAATTTTCGAATATTTTCATCTCCTCAAAAAGAAACCCTACATCCTTTAGCCGTCATTCCCAGTTCTCCTATTCCCCTGCAGCTCCGGGCACCCACTGACCTGCTCTCTGTTGCTATGAATTTGCCTCTTCTGGATATTTCGTATAAATAGACTTGAACAGTATGTGGTCCTTTATGACTGGCTTTTTCCACGTGACATCACGTTTTTGAGGTCCATCCATGTTGGAGCATGTATCGGTACTTTATTCCTTTCTATCGCCATGTAATATTCCATTGTATGGCTGTATCACCTTTCGGTGGACATTTGGGCTGTTTCCAGGTCAGGGCGACTATGAATAGTGCCGCTATGAACATTTGTGTACAGGTTTTCGCATGAACGTGTTTTCAGTTTTCTGGAACTGGTGGATCATTTGGTAACTCTATTTTCAACCTTCTGAGGAACCACCCAACTGTTTTTCGGAGCAACTGTACCACTTCATATTCCCACCAGCAACGTGTGCTCCAATTTCTCTACATTCTGACCAACACTTGCTATTGCCTGTCTTGAATTATCGGCTTCCTAGTGAGATGTGAGGTGGTATCTGCTGGTGGTTTTGCTCACATTTGCCTAATGGCTAATGTCCCCTTGCTGTTCATGATGATGATGAGGAGGAGGAGGAGGAGGAGGAGGAGAAGGAGAACTTGCATTGATATAGGGAGATGGTGTAGTTTACTAGCTAAGGGTTAGAGCAACCTAGTTTATAATCCTGGCTAAGTTTCCTGGGCCAAATCACTTAACTTCTCTGAGCCTCAGTTTCTGCATCAGTTCATACAGCTCTTGGGATAATTAAACAAGAAAAGGCATGCGAGCCCTTATCAATGCCTGGCACAGCGTAAGAGCTCCACAAACGGTAGCTATTTTTAAAAATGACCTTTCTGAATATAATAGGTGCTTAGATATACAGTACATCCTCTCCTTTGACGGCCAAAGTAACTGCACCCAAGCTTGGGATTTGAGATCTGAAAATGTGGATTCAAAAATCCTTCACCTCTTTGAGCCTTCGTTTCCTTATCTGTAAAATGAGGATGATGGTTGTGGTAAGAATTAAATGAGTTAATAAATACCAAACTACTAGAAAAATACTTGGCATATGGCAAACCCTTACTACATGTTAATTCTTCTTATTAATATTAATTATCAGGATGATCATTATTTGATTCATGTTTACTATGTAACAAATATTGAAAAATAAACACACATGTTAGAATTCTAAAATAAGACATGTGCTCAGATATCACGGAACCAACGATAAAAAGCATAGTTAGTAAATGCTCCCTTGTGTATCAATACATAGATCATATGTCACGATTCCACGTAACAGATGATGTAATTTACTGGTATTCGTGGGCCCAGCACATAATTTCTTAAAAGCAGATTATTACATATATAAGGACAGATCATTATGAGAACACCTTACAATGATAAATATTTGTCTTTCACATGGTGAAATCTTACCTGACATGCATTTAATTCTCTCAAGTTCAGTTACGCATGTCCCACGGGAGCATAAAGGGGGAGAACAATTTAAACAGTGCCACGACCCAGCGGCCGGGTGCCTGGACTAGGTGTGAGATGGGGTACTGCTGTTGAGGCTCCCTCAGTCCGTCTCTGTTCCCACATGCTTCTCATAGAGTGAGCGTTTTGCCACCCTCCCTTTTAATCTACATACATAGTTTTCATCCAACGTGTTCCTGAAAATAAGCCAACTTCTTCACCATCACCTGGAGCAAAACTGGAAAAACAGCAACTTGTTCCAGAGCCGGTGGAAAATTGGCTCTGATGGACCCACTGAGGGTTGGAAGGTCTGTTTGCTGCTCTTTGTGCACAATGTAAGGGTCTAGCAAGGGCAATTTTGATGAGACACAATTTTTACTTTAAGCGCTGACTGTAAAAGGTAACCATGTAAGACGCTTCTCCATTATTTATATTTTAAAATTTAAAACCGAAGAAAAATATTGCCAGCTTTGCTTTCCTCCCTTATGTTAATGGAAGATTTGCATCTCACTGAATGAAGTCCCATGGAACATAGCTTTGGAACTGCTGCCTTAAATTGTGCTGTGAGGTCTCAGGCTGACGTGACTGCAAGTTGGGCATTTGTTAAATGGGTAGACCCATGATGCACAGGGATCCGGGAGGTTTTCTGCATCAAATAGGAGTGATGTAGACCACAGCCGGAAGTCTAGACAGGCTCAGATACAATTCAGGAGATGTAGCAGCGGGGGGGCGGGGGAGGGGGTTCTGGCCATGGAGTTCTAGGTTCAGAGGCTGTCCGTACTAGAGCAGAAAAGGCAAAAGGCCAGGATAGTGAAGTAAGACAATGCCTCAGTTATTGAGACTGGAGTACAAGGTAGGGGCTGGCGACAGAGAAAATAAGACAAGAGGCTGATCAGTTTCTCATAGTCCCCACAATCAAGTTTAGATCTAGAGTCAAGAGCAGGGGCTATAGGGCAGGCAGGGTCAAGTGGCCCCAGCTTCCAGGGTTGCAGGAGTGTGTAGACGGATACTGAGGAGGTCTGTATTAGTCAGAACTGTTTGGATACGTGACAGAAACCTAACTCAGGTTAGCCACCAAGCCACAAAGGGGAATTATTGTCACATCACTGGGCAGCGGAAGAGACGGAGCTGTCTGCAGACACAGATAGCTATAAATGTTCAAACTGTATTATTAGGGCTGGGTCTCT